GGAATGGCTAAACAAGTTGTGGTATATGAATGTAATGGAATACTACTGTTCCATAAGAAATAAATCAGAGAGATTTCAGGGAAAAAATGGAAAGGCTTACATGAACTGCTGAGTGAAGTGAGCAGAACCAGGAGACCACTGTACATAGTAACAGCAACATCGTGCAATGATCAATTATGATAGACTTAACTCTTCTCAGCAATGCAATGATCCAAGACAATTCCAAGGGACTTGTGATGGAAAATGCTAACTACATCCAGAGAAAGAACTATAGAGTCTGAATGCAGAGCAAAGCATACTATTTTCACTTTTTTTGTTGTTTTGTATTGTTTCTTTCTTGTGGTTTTCCCCTTTTGTTCTGGTTCTTCTTTCACAACATGACTAATGTGGAAATATGTTTAACACGATTCTACATGTATAACCTCTATTAGATTGCTTACTGTCTTGGGGAGGGGGAAGGGAAGGAAGAAATCTTACACAAATTAATTCTGAAAACTATCTTTACATGTAATTGGGAAAAAACACTATTAAGAAAAAAGATTTCCTCATTTTATAGCTTAAAAGATAATGAAAACATTGAATATTACAGCGTAGAAGACCTTGGTTAAATCTAGTCATTGCTACCTTCGTGATATCTCTCAATTAGTCCCTTTTTCTCCATTCACTGTCCCACTTCAGGCTCTCCTCATTTCTTGGCTGGCCCATTGCAATACCCTCTTAATTTGCCTATCTGGCTCAAGCTTCCCTCTATCTCAATCTATCCTCCACTCAGTCACCAAAGTGATTTTCCTAAAGTACAGGACTAATCATGTCACCACCACCCCCTCAACCTCCGCCAATAAATTCCAACAGCTCCCTCTACTACCTTCAGTATCAACTACTCTTTTCCAGTCTTCTTACAATTGACAGCCTTCCACAAACTCTATGACCCAACAATTCTGGTCTACCCGCCATTCTTTTATTCTACACTCTATCTCCCATCTCCATGTCTTTGTACACATAGTCCCCCATGCTTGGAATTCTCTTTCTCCTCACCTCCACCTCTTAGCTTCCGTCAAAATGTAGCTTAAATCCTAACTTCTATAGGAGGCATCCCCACAAATCCCAATGCTAGTGCCTTTTCCACTGAGATTACCTTGCATCTTCTCTATATATTATCTTTTATGTACCCAATTATTTACATATTGTCTCCTCTGCTAGAGCGTAAGCTAAAGGACAAAAGTTTTGGGGTTTCTCTTTTTCTTTGTGTACCTATTATATACCTTTGTATGTCTATTTGCTTCCTGGTACATTTGTTGTTGTTCAGGTGTTTCAGTCATGTCCAACTCTTTGTGACCTCATTTGGCTTTTTCTCAGCAGATCCTGGAGTGGTTTGCCAATTCCTTCTCCAGCTCATTTTATAGATGAGAAAACAGAGGCAAATAGGGTTAAGTGATCTGTCGAGGGTCATACAGCTAGTAAGTGTGTGAGGCCAGATTTTGAACTCAGCAAAACAAGTCTTCCTGACTTCGGGCCTGACACTCTATCCACTGTACTACCTAGCTGTCCTTCCAGGTACATAGTAAGTGCTTAATGCTTTTGGCTGACCAACTGAAATGCTCTGTGGGTTGTATAAGAGTGTGTGACATCACACACAATCATCATTTTCAGCAGAGTATGCAGTATCCCATAGCTAGTTTTTAATGGATGATCACTAAGTTAAATATCATCCATTAAAAACTAGCCATGGGATACTGAGAGCTACAAAAAGTTTTTAATATACTGAATCTGCTATGAAAAGCAATAAGTCTTTCTAAATGGCACTTCTTAGCCTGTCAATCCTCTACACTAAGAGGATTATTTTTATATAGTGTGCATCATTTAGCAAATGACTAACACAGCTCCGTTTAACTAAACAGAATTTTCATAAACCAAGTTGCCCTTAAAACCATTTCACCGCAAAGGCATGCCAAAGAAAAAGAGATAGCTAAGTCCATTCACGTAAATATTTATACCTCCCCACTCCAAAGGTGGACATAACAAGAGGATACTGAGAAGATAGAAAAGTAGCATGAGGTCAGAGACAGGGTCAGGTTTAGAGTCAGGAATACATGGATTTAAGCCCTGTCCCAATACATCCTAATCATCACCATCTTCACCGATATGATGACAACTCATTTGTATATGGAGCACTAAGGTTAGCCAGATACTTTACCTGAATTATTTCATTTGATTCTCAAACTCTATAGACATGTGCTATTATTATCTCCATGTTACAGATGAGGAAATGGAGGCTAAAAGAGTTTAAGGATCAAGGATTAAGGGTCTTTGACCAAGGTTAAAGAACCAGTCAATGTCTGAGGTAGAATCTGAAAAGGGGTCTTTCTGACAAGGGAAGTCCAGTGCTCTATGCCCCACTGCTTCACACACTGACTGACCATGGGCAAAGCACTTAACTTCTCAGTCTCCCTGACAACTCTCTAAGAGGAAAAGAATGTGAAAGAATATTAGTTCCTTGATGATGGAGATGATGCCATTTTTCTCTTCAGGTCTCCAGAATCAAAAAAGTACTGGATACATGTTAAGCATTTAATAAATTCTTTTTTGAATAAATGAATGAAGTGACAGACACATTGTTGATATGTGTTATTAGAGGGGAGTTGCTGATACTGATAAACTAACTCACAGATCCAGACCAGAAAAAAACAAACCAAAAACAAAAATAACTAACAAGCTGTAAGCTTCCCTTGTTCCATGTAATTTATAATGCCTGCAACCAAAATAATATATTTGCTGTAATCAATAACAGACTAATGAAAATATGGGCCTCTTAGATCTTTACTTAGAAAACTAAAAACATTCATTGATTTCCATTTTAAAATAACTTCAAAAGAAAATTACTTTCATATCACAAAACAAAACAAAAAAGAACCAAATATGACATTTTTGTTCACTAGTGGAAAGTTTCTTATATTTGCATATTTTAAAAGGAAAATTTCAAAACTAAATGCATGACAGCATTCTCAGTCTTGCCAGCAAATGTCTGTTTCAGACAGTAGCCACAGTCTGACCAGCTATGACTTTTTTAACAAATAGGTGCTTTCTCTTGCTTCAGACCCTGCTCACACAAATGTTTCAGATCAAAATAAAAAAAAAAAATTTACCCCCAGGAATCTAAGAAGCAGTGCCCCAAATTGTTTTAAAGCAAATCCCTATTATATGAACCATTCTAATTTGCGATGATTCTATGGACAATTTTCAATGTATTCTGCCTTCAGTACACACCTGGAAAAATGTCTACTGTTTTTTACACTATAAAAGGATCTGGCCTTTTTCAATCGGGTACACAGCTGGAGATATAATAAAGCCTTGGCTGTATGATTTACTTGGTAAATGTCACATGTTCTATAAATTATCTTTCCTTAGAAAAAAAAAACACCTTGAATTTACTCCACGCTACAATGCATAGAAAGGAACGAGGATGATGAATACATTTTCTAATTAAAACCTAATATCTGGCATGAACAGAAAAAGGACTGTGTGATTATTGTAGATAGGTATATAAGGAACTACTCAAGTTTATAAAATTTAGGATGATCGGGCTGTACTGAAATTGCTTGGCTCCAAGCCAAACTGTTTCCTATACTATATTGCAGGGTGGGAAGAAGGGAAAGTTAGGGAGAATCATTGAGTCCTTATTCCCTAATCTTAGTTCCTAGATGTTTCGTCTCCTTCTATCCTTGTTTTATACAGAATAGATCTCATATAGAATGCTCAGAGGAAAATAAAACTCCCCAAAGCCAACTATAGAATTGTAATTCCTATTAATATCAAATAGGTTATATGGAGGGAGGGAGAACTACTTTGCATGGTACTTTACACTTTTCATCACCATGTTTTTGTTTCCAAAATATATAGAAGCCTTTGTAAAGTAGTATGATGTATACAGGGCTACATAATAACAATAATCACTATTATCATTATAATTATTATCATTATTTACCTACTACTCTAAGGTTTTAAGAATTTTTAATACACTGTCTTATTTGAATTATTTCATATTTCATGATATATCTGATACACTATCACAGTGACTCTATGAGGAAGTTCATGTAGGCATTATCCTCCCCATTTTACAGATGAGGAAACTTAGGCTAATTCTATTAAATAACTTGCTTAGGATCACAAAGCCAGTAAGTGCTGAAGGCCAAATTCAAACCCAAGGTTTCCTGACTCCTATCCACTACCCATGTGGCCTCTCCTATGTAGCATAGTGGCTAGAGTACTAGACTTGGGAATCAAGAAGACTGGATTTCAAATCTGGCCCCTTCAGCTAACTTGTGACCACAGATAAGTCACTAAATCTTTTTCAGCTCCATTTTATAAATGAGCATAATAACAGCTATAATATCTACTTTACGGGGTTTCTAAAAGGCTCAAATAAGCTAATATGAGTGAATTAGTTTTCAAATTTTAAGGTGCTATATGAATGTCAAGTATTAATCAAACTTCTTGGAACCTGTCAATCAATCAACAAGCATTTATTCAGCACCTACTATGAACCAGATAATATGTGAGGTTCTGGGAATACAAAACAAGAATGAAATAGTCTCTACACTCCAGGTGCTTATATTCTACTAGGACAGGGGTGGGGAACCTGAGGCCTCAAGGCCACATGTGGCCCTCTAGTCCTCAAGTGTGGCCCTTCAACTCAATCCAACCTTCACAGAACAAATCTCGTTAATAAAAGGATTTGTTCTGTAAAACTTTGACTCAGTCAACAGGCTGTACACAAAAACCTAGAAGGCCACATGTGGCCTCAAGGTCGCAGGTTCCCCACCCCTGTAGTAGGAGAAACAACATGTCCTGCAAGCACAAAATATGAAGTAATTTCATACAGCAAGAAGATTCAATTTCAGAAATACAAAAAATACCACTCCGGGTTTTTAGAATAAATGAAAAAATATGAGTCAGGTTAAAATTCAACAGGATAAGTAAATTTCTGATTAAAGAAAAATTACCTTGTCTGTATCCACTTTTCCTTTGATAAATTCTAGCTTCCAGAACTGCAATGCTTGCTCCAATGTTAAGCCAATTCCCTTCAGGAAAAGACCATATTGCATTCGGCCACCATGCCGAAGATGATGATGTTCTCGCAAAGCTTTATGCAGCTGACGCATACAAAGAGGGAATGATTTCATTGCAAGCTGTAAGGAAAATAATTTGTGGCTATGAGGAAGATTAACTACTTGACTTATAATATTTATCTATAGGAATTATAAATTCATTCTAGTTGGAAAAAATAAGAATTAAAAAGATACATTGAAGATTCCCTGTGATTACAGAGATAGACAGACAGATAGATAGATAGGTAGATAGATAGATAGATAGACAGACAGACAGACAGATATGGTTTCTAATCACAGCCACACAGTTAAAGCTAAAAAGCACATGCTGTACTAGAGTAAAAGACAATAAACATAATAATATAGGCCAATCTTACATCTGGAGCCAAAAACACTATTAAATTTCACTGCCACTCTAAGTCACATTGCCCTAGTTTCAACACTCAAATCTATTCCTTTTTAATTGAACAAAAAAGCAAGACTAGTATGGCATTTTTCCTGCAAAAGAAAAAAAAAGTACCTTCTTGTTTGAGCACAAAAAGTATAAACAGTCAGAGCAGCTGTCAATAAAATTAATAAGGATCCAGCTCTATTCCCTTACTTTAAAGGGTTATCTTTTCCTTTCAAAAAGCAACTAGAAATGAAGGCTCAGGTCATTCACCCAGCAATACACAAGAGGCACAGACCTCAGAAAGGTGTGAGACTGATGAAATAGTTGTTTCAGAAGATTAAAGGATGGACAAGTTAGAATGAGTTCCAACTAACCTGTGTGAGGATGGTAATCAATTCTATTCCCATTTCTGGGAATCTTAAAAGTAAGCACTTTATTACAGTATTTGAAGGCAATAGGTTGGATGTGAACCCTGGCTCATTTCTATAAGCATTCAAAATTTTCTCTTATGTGGTTCACCTCATTATGATTCAATTTAACTTCCTTTTCACTCAAAATTCAGTATATTTTTAATTAGTATATGTGACAGGATGATAAGTCCAGTATATTTGTTTATTAATTAATCACTCTATTCCTGAGATTTCTTTCTAGCTTTTTCCTTTTTTTGGGGGGGGGAGAGGAAAGGATGAGGATAAGGGAGTAATTCAAGGTAGATGAATGGACTGCTGCCTAGGAATAGCAGATATCCTGCAAGATTCTTAAAGAATTCATTGTTTCTACCACACAACCTTGCTTCCTTAGGTATGAGGTGGACTGAGGTTCTGAGATCCCTTCCAGCTCTGTAATCCTAAGAAATAGTCTATGTGTCTACAGATCTAGAGTAGTTTGGTGGAAATGTATTCTACATTACTACAGTGGCATTCCAAGGATACATGTCTATGATTGTGGAAATTTTAATTTCTTCTTATCCAAATGTATAAAATCTTTGTTTCAAAATATGAATGCCATTTACCTAGCATATCTCCAGGATATTTCACTCAAGGAATACTATTTAAATTGCTCTTTTTTTTTTAAATTCAGATCTGTGATTTCATCAGTACAGTAAGGAAACTCCCATTACCGATGCAGATCAACAACTGTTTGGTAATCTATAATTTCACCTCACTTAGAGGTGAAGGGACTTACACCAGGTCACAAAGATATGTGTCAAAGATCAGGACTTGAACAGTAGTCTTCTTAACTCTAAAATTACATCTCTACCTATTCCTTCTCATATGATTAAATTCTGCTTAAAAACAGCTTTTTACCTCACTCTAAGGGGGAAAAAAAGGTTACTAGGTATAAGAAATTTAATCATCTTGAACACTTTTGGAAAAAGTTTTTTCTTTCTGATAAATTATTCTAAATATGTTCTTATAAAAATTAATCCTTTTGTTAAAGAATGCCCGTATATCTTCTATATTTCCAGAACTTAGCACAATGCCTAGCACATAGTAGACACTTAGTAAATGCTCACTGATTGATTTACATGAAAAACAAATTAGATTCTAAAGGACATGGTACTCACAGAATCAAGCTGATCCAGTGAAATTTTTCCCATATTTCCTTGTGTATTGTAATCTTGACCAACATAGGAATGACTAGGGTAAAAGAACACACATGAAAATATTAAGATTTTTATCTACACTATGCAGGTTGTTTCAAGTGAAAATTTAAACTTCTGTAAAGGTTAAATTCAAAATTATACAATATTTCACATAGAAACCTCAGCATTAATAATGATAACTAATTCACAACCTTCTTAAATAGTACATGCCCTTTAACACAGTGTTATCATTATTAAGCTTATACCCCAAAGTGATTAAAGTGATTTAAGAGGTAAAGGATCCAAATGTACAAAACGGCTCATAGTGCATTTTTTTTTTTACTGAACATCACCAGAAACAAAGTAGATACCCATCAGTTGCGAATGGCTGCACAAACTGGATTATAATACATGCCAAAATGGTTGAACTGAGAAAAACCTAGGAAAATGCTGTATGAACTGATGCAGAGTGAAATGTGTAGAATCAAGAGAACAATTCATGCACTGATTGCAACACTGTAAAGGACAAAAACTTTTGAAAACTTGAGAACTCCAATGAATGCAATGACCAAACTTGACTCTAGAAGACTAATGATGAAAAGTACTTCCTACTTCTTGGTAGAGAGGTGACAGAAAGTAGGCACAGAATAAGCCATATATTTTCAGAGATATCCTATGTGTGAATTTGTTTTGCATCACCATATCCATTTATTTATTTAAGGGCAGCTAGGTGGCACAACGGATAGAGGTCAGGCCTAAAGGCAGGAAGACTTATCTTCCTGAGTTCAAATTTGGCCATACTTACTAGTTGTATAACCCTAGACAGTCATTTAATCCTGTCTGCCTCAGTTTCCTCATCTGTAAAATGAGCTGGAGAAGGAAATGACAAACCACTTCAGTATCTCTGCCTAGAAAAAGCCAAATGGGGTAACAAATATTTGGACGTGACTGAAAAACAACTGAACAACAACACTAATTTATTTATAAGAGATGGCTTTTATTGGTAGAGGAAAGAATGTTCTAGGGGAAGGAGAGAAGGAGAGTAGTGATAATTATGCAAAAAAAAAAATAAGAAAAGTACAATAATGGATGAAACATTAAAAATTAAACAGGAGAGAGAAGAAGGAAGATCAGAAGGGGACACAGGCAAATATCTGGTACTACCATGTTCAAGTTGATACAATACTTAATAACTGACTATCCCCATTTAACTGATAAGAAAATTGAGGCTTAAAGAAAATAAGTACTTTATTTAAAGTTTTCATCCAATGAGTAGTGGTATTGGGACTCAAATCCACAGTTTTTACCAAAAAGCTTTTGACAGGACTTTCCAGAATGTTGAATGTATGTATGTATGTATGTATGTATGTATGTATGTATGTATGTATGTATGTATGTTATATATATGTATGTACATACACACATATATTCATTCATTTATTTGTTTGTTTGTTTATTTATTTATCATGCTTGCCCAAGAAATGTGATTATCCATCCTATACATTTTAACTGGTTTTGTCTATAAGTCTAATGTGGTTTGTTGTGATGATGGACCTGCTAAAATATTACTTTGTAAAAATACAATTACTTGCAATGCTAGCAAATCTCAATGGCACTTAGAACAAGGCTAATTATTTTGTGATCAATCACGTCGGATGTGTTACTAAGAAGATTTAAAGCTTCCAGAGGGCAGTAGCACACATAAGGGTTATAAAATCCAAAAGCAGGTCACAGTGACTCACAAACCAATTACATAAATAAATCCATTTGCTCTGCCTACATTATAGGACAGTTAGGTGGATTCAAAAAACAGGTTGAATAGTTCAATGAGAAAAGTTTTGATCCATGGAGAAACATCAAGCTGGAAGGACACCTCAAGTAGTATGTGTACTGTTTTTTCATCTGCCTTGCTTCATTTAATATTTTTAGCAAAAATTTGGATGAAGTCAAAGACAGTACACTCTCAAAATTGTAAAGGACAAGAAGTTGGGCATGATAGCCAATGTGTTGGATAACAAAGTTGGAATTCAAAAAAGATGAGAATGATGGGCTATGTATAAGAAGGTGACATTTAACAGGGATGAATATAAAGTCTTGTACTCTAGTTCAAAAGAATTAACTAGAAAAGTATCAGGTAGGAAGAGATTTATAAATTGATGTGACACAGACCTAGAGGATTTGAAGTCAACTAGCATTCAATGGCTATCCAAAAAAACTATTGTAATCTTTGGCTGCATTAACAGAAGTACACTAAACAATAAAGAATGAAGCAGTATTCCCTTCAGGATGACATATTTTTAGGAGTAGGAATCCAGTAGGACTGTATTTATGATTTCATTAGTATAGATGACCCCGGGATAAGGAAATTTCACCCACCAGGGAATCTTCTCTGCATATGGTTTTATAGGTATCAATCTGGCACCTACCTGGAGGCCCAAGTGGGCACTATCAGATTAGTAAGAGTTCTCCATAAATATTTCAACCTAGATCCACCAGCTGGTGCTCTCTGATCATTATCATATCATTTCCCCCCCTTTTGTCCGCACTTCCTTATCCTCTTTCCTTCCACTTCATCTCTGGAAATAGTAAGTAAGTTAATATTACCACTCTTTGAAAGAACATGTCAATCAATTGCCCTATGGCCTCTACTCCCCACCCTTGTGACTTCCCAGTCCAAAACACTCATCTCTACTTTCTTATATATGTTGTCTTGCCTTATTAAAATATTAAGTTCCTTGAGAGTAGAGACTATTTTCTTTTATCATTTGTATTCTCAGCCTTTAGCACAGTTCCTAACACATAGGAAGTACTAGATAAATGTTCCCCTTCCCACCCCAGTCCCCCAGCTCCACCCCTTTATTCCCTTAGAGGTTAAGTAACATAATCAGCATGTGTCAGAGCCAGACCTTGGACCCTTATCTTCCCAGCTCTGGCTCAGAGGCCAGCTCTCTACCTATTACACTATACCACAAAGTAACACTGACAAATCCAAGCATGTTCACCACTAGCACCATGAGAAGTCAAAACCATCTCATGTGAAGACTGGCTAAAGGAAATGTTCAACCTGGGGAAAGATGACTTTGGGAATGGTCTTTAAATATCTGAAAGGTTTTTATTATCTAGAAGTTTAATTTGTATTCTGGTTGGCTACAGAGTAGAGAACCAGAACCAATGAGTGAAAATAACTAAAAAGAAAATTGTGGCTTAATGTAATAAATGTGGCTTAATAAGCAAAAGTTTCCTGAAAATGGGACAGTCTGCCTCCAGAGGTTCTAAGCTCTTTATTACTGGAAGTATTCAAGTAAAAGCTAATAAGCCATTTGTCACAGATTCTGTAGAGGAGATCCATGCCTCAAGTAGATCGACTAAATGAAATAATTTCTAAGGTCCCTCCAACTGTGAAATGCTATCAGCAAAGAAGGACTAGCCAAAGTTAGATAATATGAATTTACAGTGCACTGAGTAAATTCAGTTCTGGGATTTTCTTCAGTAAAACTCAGTAGCCCAGTCAAGGCAAGTCCGCAAGCATTTATTAAATTGTCCATTGTGTGTCAGACACTGCTTAAGTTCTGAGGATACAAAGAAAGACCAAAAAAAAGAGGCCCTGTTCTCAAAGAGTTCACAGTCTAATAGGGGGAAAAAAACATGCAAACAACTATGTACAAACAAATTATATTATTTTTTGGAAATACTCTCAGAGAGAAGGCACTAAGATTAAAGAGGACTGAGAAAGGCTTCTTGCAAAAAGCAAGATTTTAGCTGGGACTTGAAGGAAATAACAGAAGCCAGGTGGTAGAGATAAGGAGGGAGGAGTTCCAGGCATGGAGGACACTCAGCAAATATGCAGTCATGAATTGGAGTGTCCTGTGCTAGGAGCACCAAGGAGGCCAACATCACTGAATCATAAAGTATGTGGAAGGGAGTTAAGTATAAGCACATAGCAAGCACACTGAAATCATATGTTAGGGTTTGTAGATTTCTAAGGCCAGAACACTGTAAATTCAAGAAGACTGATTTAGATGGAAATATAAGTGTGGGAGTAGAGCAGAGATGCTTAACCTTTTTATGGTTGTGGACCCCTTTAGAATTATGGTGAGTCCTTTCCAGATCAAAGTTTTTAAATGCATAAAATACACAGGACTACAAAGGAAACAAATTATATTGAAATAAAGATGTAAATATCCCCCCTCCCTCCATTCAAATTCACATCAGTTCATCCCTAGATTAGAAGGATGAGTTGACACACAGGATGATAATACTGGATGACATAATAAGGGAAGCAGGAGGGTAAGTCAGAAGGGTATGCCAGTGCATAAGGTGGCAGAATTTCGGCAATGGAAAAATTAACCATCAATGAAATTCCAATTTGTATGTTGATAAGACGGAATATTAATGCAGCATTGAATGCTGCTGCAAACTCTGATCCCAAGGGCTGTTTTTGGACTTGATGTCATTGTTCTTCAGTTGTCTCAGTTGTGTCCACTCTTAATGACTGTTTTTGGGGTTTTCTTGGCAGAGATATTAGACTGGTTTGCCATTTCCTTCTCTAGCTCATTTTTATGAATAAGGAAAATGAGGAAAACAGGGTTAAGTGACTTGCCCAGGGTCGTACAGCTAGTAAGTGTCTGGGGACAGATTTGAACTCAAGAAGATGAGTCTTCCTGACTCTAGGCCTGATGCTGTATCCACTGTGCCATCTAGCTGTCCCTTTGGGCTTGATGGTGACTTTCTATCCAGCTTTGATAGAAGGATAGAACTGAAGACCTGGCGCCTTCCTACCTTCTTACAACTTACTCCCTTATACACATACTATGATCCAGTAACAATGACTTGCCTGCAATTCCTCACACATGACATGCCACCACTCTCATCTGTCAGCTTCGTGCCTTTGCACTGGCTGTCCCTTGTGCCTAGAATGCCCCAGCTACTTACCTCTGTCTCTTAGTTTCCCAGTCTTCCTTCAAGATTCAGCCCAATGTCTTCTCTTTTTAGATTACTTTTATAAATGCTATATATTCCACTAGAATATAATGCTCCTTGACAGCAAGGACTGGA